TATATATGTACATATATGTACATATATGTACATATACATATATATATACATATATATACAAATATGTACATATATGTACATATATGTACATATTTGTATACATATGTATATATATGTATATATATGTATATATATGTATATATATGTATATATATGTATATATGTGTATATATATACATATATATATATATATATATATATATATATATATATATATATATATATATATATATATATATTTATAGATCTATATCTAATCTATATAGATATAGATATAGATATAGATATAGAGATATATATTTAAATATATACATACATACATATACACATTCTCCACCCAACTCCCCTCCAGAAACTCTTGAGGACATCCAAACTTACCCTAAACATGCTCTCTCATCCACCCTCCAATATCTCTACTCCCATTCCCTCTATATTCAAAGTAAGACCCAACATCCCTTTTCTTCCTCCTCTATTTCCTCTACCCCTCTTCATCCCTTCCTCTGCTGCTTCATGTACCCCATCCCTCTTCTTTTCCCAGGATCCTTTCTGCTCCCACCTGGATGCTCATGTGACTCCCCCTTTGTCACAACATTGTCCTCCTCTGGATCCTTCCCCTCCTGATATTTCCCCTGATACTTCACCTCCTTCCCCTGTTCCCTTGTTTCATTTGCTAGGCTCTTCTTTTCCTACTTCTCTGATATCCATTTCTACCCTTATTGCACGTTGATTGTATCTCAATGGCATTTTTGCACTGTTCCTCATGTAATGTTTCTCTTCCCTCCACAGACACAGATACTCTCCACTTGATCTTATCACCATTCTCCCTTAACCCATTGCCGCTGGGGAAAATGAACAAAAAATGGGGGAAATGCAGTACTCAATTTTTATATTTTTGTGAAATATCTCTGTCCATAGATGGCTCTGCTAGTCCTGATTTCACCTTTCCTTGAATTGGCGGGAAAAAACGTATTTTTACTAGTGCTATAAATATAGATGGTGTTATTTTTAACAGCAAATTAGGATAACGTTAAATATTTTCGTAAATTGATAAAAAGAGTGAACGGGCGAGACAGGCAGTACTTGTAATTGGCTCATTGGATACTTAGTACAAGTGTAGCCATCTATGTGTAAAAACAATCAAAGAAGTCGACTCACAGTGGGCATGGCATGTGCGTACATGCCATCCCCGGCAGCAATGGGTTAACCTCCTCCTTTTACTAATCCCCACCTTACTCCATTTGTTTACCTTTTCCACTACCATACTATCCTATAGTGCACTAGAACCTTTGTCCTAATCATTATTATTTATTTAATTTTCTTCTGCTGCATTTTAACATCTAAGGTCATTAGCTGCATATTCAAAATATAGAGATAGGGTGAGGCTAGGGAGGCTTTTTTTTTGGGGGGGGGGGGGATTTTCTTTTGGTTCAGTAAAGTGATGTTAATCAAAGTGGTTAAAGGTCAAAACAAATAAATGTGCCAGACATCAAAGGTAATATAAGCTTTATGATAAAATACTGTTGCAAAAAGGGTTAAAATGAGTTAACAATTAGGATAAGAGGACAAAAGAAGGAAATGAAGAGGAGAAGGAAAAGGAAAGCAGAAGAAAAGACCATGCATAATTAGTCGATACAAGGGGTGAGGACAAGGCATGAGTGATCCCATTGGGTCTCAGTCTCTGTCTCTTAAGCCCCCCCCCCCCCCATGACAACAATGAGCAAGGGATTGGAGGGGTCCTCATTTTTTCACTTTTGCCATACTTTACCTTAGTGACGTATATAACATTTAACGTCTAGGACAATTGTTTGAACTACTAACCTTTATTTAATGTTTGTAGGAACACTGAGAGTCAAAAATCCATCATTCAAAGACTTGCTTTTCTTTTTTGAGTTCTGCCATGTCAACATCTAAGGTCATTAACGGTGTATTTAAAATATAGTGATAGCATGAGGAAAGGAAGTGCTATAAGACATCAAAGGTCATATGGCACTATGGTAAAACAGAGTAGCAAAAAGGGTTAGGAATGAGTCTATGATTACAGGTTGAACAGTCCTAGAGTTTAGTATGATAGTGAAAAGGGTAAAGTGGGGGAGCTGATGGGGCATAGCATAAGGTAAAGGTTGTTAGAAGGGAAAGAGTTAAGGAAGTGGGGAGCATTAGGATAAAGTATGTGGAAAAAAGGCCAAAAATGAGTTTAACGAAAAGGATAAGCAGACAAAACAAGGGGTTGAAAAGGAGGAAAAGGAAAGGAGAAAGAAAGACCATGCAAAATTAGAAGATGATCTTTGCCATACCTGAGAATCCAGACCTAAAACACTTTTTTTCTTTCATTATCAGCATCTATAGTCATCTTGGAAATCTTCAGATTATTATTATGCAGTTAGAAATTCAGAAACATTTTAATACCAGTCTAGTTATGCCTAGTACAGTATAGGGGAGAGTAATTGTAATTTAAATAAAATGAGAGGCTGCATTTCTGAAGGTGGCTCAGGGACCAAGT